ATTAAATAAAAAATCTTTTTTAAAAAATCCAAAACAGGTCGTACACTTGCAAAAATAATGGGTGGCATTTCCCTGCAGTGTGAACCTAGCCTTGGAAAAACAAGCAAGTGCCCACATATAATAAAAATGATCTTTCAATGATGCCAAAGCAAATCAACAGGTGCTCTGATGGTAAGGCCAACCTCTTTGCCACAGCACTTCTGCTTTTGGCTTGTTGCGGTTAAAGCGTGTGAAAGCACAACACAACAAAACAAGCCTGGAGCGATGGCATCCCGTACTTAATGTGCAATTAAGAAATCATAAAATCGAGTTCAACTTTTGTGTGTGCATGCGTGCGCGTTTGTGCATGTGTGTGTATGTGTTTGTGTCGGGGGGAGGCGCCCAGATCAACTGGATTCAACTTTGGTTCATAATAGCCCACTGTGCAATTCTGAAAGCAAGATCAAAATTTTAGGGAAAATTCATTGAACTTAAATGTTAAATACAACTGAACTGTGCTTAGGACGGTGAGTCTTTGGCATCCCACGATGGAGAGCAATCAGATATCATGTGCACTCAAGGATCGGTTATAGGCCGCTGTGCAATTCTGAAAGCAAGATCAAAATTTTAGGGAAAATTCATTGAACTTAAATGTTAAATACAACTGAACTGTACTTAGGACGGTAAGTCTTTGGCATCCCACTACAGAGAGCAATCAGATATCATGTGCACTCAAGGATCGGAGTCTCTTTGCCTTATTTGGGAAGAGTCAAGTGTCCCGTGCCAGGATTAGCGCCTTTCGGCGCTTGGGTTGCCAGCTGTGGGCTCAGGTGGCCTCGCACAAGCACTGGCGGGGCGCACGGTGACGTCAAGGCCGGCACTGACGCACAGGTGGGACATTTGGTAAGCATCGGGCGTGAAAAGCCGCAACTTGGAGCGAACCTGTTTGCCAGCCTCAGCTAAATATAATCGGAGATCCGCAGAGCCGGTCAAAGACAAGCATCAGTCAGCGTGCGTATGGGTGCGTGTGAGTGTGCGGTTTGGCCTTCTCTTATTGAAAACCACGACACTCCTATCTGAAACCTCATCTTGCTGGCATGTTATTTGTCTTTATATACACATACACGGTAGTGTACAAGTTGGGTCCCGCCCTGATGGTGAACTCTTTCGAGGCCTAAAGCAAGTGACACCTTCAATTGGAATGCCAAACAAGCGCAATCTCCTTTGTCAGGAGCCACAGGGAAAGACACATATGACACATTGGTCACATATACACAAACTTATGTCAAGGGGACACAACAATGGCGTGATGCAATCGGATGACCCCGTCCTCACACTGGTCACAGTTTAAAATGGAATCTTCTTCAGATTGATGTCCATGGATTGTTACGGATGTCAAATCAGTGATGCAAAGAGCGCGTTGCTCATTTGAAACAACAAACCAGTAAAAACGACCAGAGAGTCAACCCAAAAGTGTCACAGATTTGAACCCCATGTCAAAACAAGAACAGTATTGATGTTGAAACAAGACGAAGTGCACATAATTATATTGGTAAAGAGCAAATTGAGTACTTTGTGCACACGATACAATTATTTTGTCGCCAGGAATTAGCATCTGTGGCTAGAAATTAGCTTTTTGTGTGCATGATTTACCGATTTTGTGACCGCAAATGAGTATTTCTTTTTTTTTTTTTTTTTTTTTTTGTCGAAACCAAACTTGTTTGTATGTTTTTCCGTCACTTGTATAAACTGTACCTGCGTGCCAAGGTTGCTTGCAGAGAGGTGGCAGAACAGCTAACGGCGCTACATTGTTAACGTGCCATGAGGGTGTGAACGAGGTTCACTGAGACAATATGCCGTGAACAACAACAGCTTTTGTTTGTCATGCAAACAAAAACATATGTAGAATTCACTTGGTATGAGCGTGGCGCAGTGGAGGTAGGCGATGTGATTGTGACGACGACATCTGTGATATTGAAGCGTTGGTACCTGCGCGTCTGAAAGAAAAAAGCTGATTATCTCAACCTTTTTACAGCAGGCTTTGCCATTTTCTCCCCCGGCCCCCAATGCCCACACTTTCGCTATTTGGAGCACTGCTACCTGGCTGTAACACGCTGTGTGGAGGCAAGTGTCTGAATGCATGTTTGGCGGATGGACGGGTGGGTGGGTTGTTTGTGCTAAGCGGGGGGAGGGGGGGGGGCTGCGGGAACGGAGGGACGGATGGCACATGAGGGGGCAGAGTGGTGGGAAGCTGGTGTCACGGCCTTCCTCCCACCGCCAGGCTGCACGCGAGGAGCTGACGGCTGACGGAGAGAGCCTGCACCAAAGTCTCCAACAAAAGGTCGCAACTCCAATCAGACTGTTCTCCGGATGCCTCTTATCCTCTTGTACCTGCCGCCAAGGCCTCGTTTCACACCTTTAGACGCACTTAGCTGTGCTTGACCATATTTACTGAGTTAAAAAAAGTCTTTTGAAATCTCTCTCCCCCCCGGAATAGGCCAGACTGGAAAACCAAAATGGCAGACTTCCTATTTTTTTCGACATAGTATTCCAACTATCTGTATACTCACAGTCACACTGCATTTCCAACCCTAAAAAATTAACATCGCCATTGATGTCTAATTGAGTATCACACAATTCTCTATCTAGCAATTATGATTCCAAGCAGACAAAAAAAAAAGAAAAATCCCTGAAAAAAGCTGAAAAGATATTTTTAAATGGCCCCTTCACACAAAAGTGGCATTCTCCCCCCGTGTCTTTGCAGGCACTGGTCTCTGACTTTTATGTGGGTATCACTCATGATAGACATCCATCCATTCATCCATCCATCCATTTTCTAATCCGCCTATCCCGACAAGGGTCGCGGGCGTGCTGGAGCCGATCCCAGCTGTCTTCGGGCAGTAGGCATGCATGTTTTTGTAATGTGGGAGGAAACCAGAGCACCCGAGGAAAACCCACACAGGCATGGGGAGAACATGCAAACACCACACAGGAGGGCCGGCCGGAATCGAACCCTGCAACTCTGCGCTGTGAGGCGAACGTGCTAACCAGTCGTCCACCGTGCCGCCGATGATCAAGATGCGGACCGAATTTCATGTTTGTAATGCTTCACCAAAGAACGGAAAATTCCTTTGATGCTATCTATATTTATAAATAGTGATAAAGAATGTTGTGTAATACCGTTCCAAAAATAGGATGTAGAACTAACTGCTTGCCCCATTTCCAGTTGAGTAAATAAAAGCTAATGTCTGGAAATATGTTATCTGTGGACGAATCTTCCCTTCCTGTTGCTTAAAACTTTCATAATCATCCCCAATTAGAGCGTCCCATTTTTTTTCTTAGTTGTGGTGGATGAACAAACACTTCTGCTGTGCTGTCGGTTGCATGAACGATCACGAACACGAGGAGCGAAATGTCAATGGCGATTGGCGAGGCATGTAAAATGTGTCCCATGATTTGGCAGAGGGTCTTATGAAAGACTTGCAAAATTCAGTGGCTGGAGTCATACAGTCAGATGACAAGTGATCTTGATAGATGAAAGGGAGCAGCCTCCAAAATGGGTTCTGGTCATGCTATTTGACGATTACTGCTTCCTATCTGGAAATCATCACGGCTCCCCCAGATGTTATAGAATGTTTTTTTTAGGGAAAAAAAAAAGGACGCTCAAGGGAAAAAATGTGTGAAGGGTGACATTTGTGGCCTTCAGAACAGCTGATGTCATCCACTCGAGTCTCTGAAATTCATTTTCAGTGGCTGAGGGGGTGGGGGTGTTCTCTTTCACTCCGCAGAAAATAAAATGCACATGTAATGCATACTTTAAAAGGAGTCATCTGTTTTATTTGTTCACTATCCAACAAGCTGGCTGTCACGGGAGGCTGCACCCCCCCACGCCTGACACTCAGCTCTTCCGCCTTCTCCTTGTGAATGACACACAATCACAGTTGACGACGAGGCACTCTAAAGCAGTGACACAAGTTGACCGAAGGGAAGTGTGGATCACCGCTGAAGCGAATGAAGGCGCTCAAGTTTTGACACTGTGGGGGAGGGGCGACTGCTTTTAAAAAAAAAATTAAAAATCTGGAAAACTGAAATGTGGAGTATCTAGATAAGTACTGTACCACATTTGTCATCATGTCTTTGAATGTTTTCAGCAATTATCTCAAACATGTATATTTTAAAAACAAATCTCTTAATGAATGCCCTTCACAGGGTCTTAAAGTCAATTTTCCATCGTGTAAAAAAATTACTTTTTAATCATACTTTGGCTCTTGATCCAAACTGCGAGATAAAACTCCGTATCTCCTGTAATAAAAGTCCAATAAATAGTTCCTTGTGATGCAGGTGTTTCATCCAGACTGTCTCAAGTGTTACTCATGCCCACGAGCAGCTTGAAGATTTTGATGCAAGCCTCCAAACTGTTCGGTTCAAGAGCTGTTGAGAACTGGTTATTTTTATTTCGGATCTGAGACATCGGGCCCGCAGGTCCCCGCTGTGATTCAAAATAATATCGCGTTTATGGATTCACAAGGAAGCGGGAAGCCTAACCTTCGCTTTCGGCCTCCCGAGTGTTTCGATGTTAGTAAAAACATAAAAGTGCTTTCTTTGCACGCTCCGACGTGTTTAAAGGCCTCAAGAGTCTTGACATTTGAAACAAACTGGTTTGAATCCAGCACACGATTGAATGAAATGAAGCTTCAAGTTGGTTATGAAACAGAAAAAGGTCCCGGTGTAAGCACAATAATGGGCGTCTTTTTCCAGCTTGATGAGCAAAACCCAGGGGTCATCGCTCATAGCAAACAGATTGTTATCTCATCTCAAAGCAGTTGTATGTGGTACTTTATTTCCTTGAAGGGATGTTTAAAAGGTCAGTTAAATAATAATCAGATGATTTGACACAGTGGAGTACTTGAATCATCTCAGATAGCTGATATCTGCTGCCACCAAGAGGCCGCACAGAGCCAAGTTTTAGAAATGGCGGATGATGAAGTTGAATACAAAAAAAGCAGGCAAAGGTCAACAGATATTTTCAAATAAATTTATTCTGTTTTTGTTCTTTTTTTTTCGTCCACTGTACAGAGCAAGCATGGCACCCACAGGGCAGCTGGAAATGCTGAATGTGTGTTCCACCAAAAGAAAAGAGTCAAGATAACCTGGAAGAGCAAAGAAAGAAAGAAAAAATCTTGAGTTGCGACAAACACAAAATCAAGTGATGATTGATGAGCTGTCAAATAGCCCACGAGCCACTACATTGGGTATTTATCACTGGTCCAATCAGTCGAGCAAACACCACAGTTGGGCTTGTACACTTCATCGTGGTGAACTGCTGAACGTCAAACTTTTGACGAAGAAAGAGAAGCCAAAGCTACAGCTCCGACAACCTCACCAAAATTGATAAATGGAAAGAAAGGGTCTACCCGTCTATTTGTTTGCATTATTGTTGTTCGGGCGAATCCGATTGATGACTTACTGACTTCTTTCCGCCTCGCGTGCGGACCAAATACGAAATATCGCGACGGGCCGCTTGCCTCGTGCGTGTTTGTTCACGGGGCACGCCGGTGCGATTTTGCTTTCGCCTCTTGCAAGGCACACCGAATGAAGTGGCTGGTGAGGATGAATCGACTTGCGGAGTCTTTTTCTACGGCATACAAATGAACTGGTGTTGGGCCACACCACGCGGGGAGCTCTATTCCAACGCCTTGACGATGGCCTCGTTGGCATCTATGCTGACTTGAACCTCTGCCCTCGCCATCTCGTCGGACGTACCGGCCAGGTCGGCCTGGGACTTCTCCAGGTTGGCCTTGGCAGCCTGTGGAGGGGCAAGAACGCTGAGTTGAAAGGGAATGAGACAAAGACAGTTGACTAATACTGTGCAGGGTGATATACAGTCGAGGAAAATGAACAAACAAATCATTCATTTTCAAATTTGGACACGCGAGATCTCCACTGCGCAGCTGGTCAACGAACTGAAACATCCACACGAGGCACCAAAGCACCTCCGTCAAGGCTTAAAGGGGAAGTGAAGTCAAAAATGTTCTTCGCAACAAATATGCTGCTGTGCGGCGCCACTCGTCGAAAAACGGCGTTCTGATTATAATTGCCTTTGTGGAGTGTGAATGAAGCAGGACAATCCCACCCATTTTTATCCATCTCCGTGGCGGCCATTTTGCCACTCTGTGTCGACTGAAAACGACATCACAGTTGCTCAGGGCTCAAGTAACAACGAATCGCAGGTCGTCGGTCAAGCCGGGCTGTCAATGGTCGTTTACCTGAGCAACTGTGATGTCATTTCCAGACATTTATCTGTTTCCTAGCTTGTGACGTAACATAATCAGTGTCTTCACTGATATCATCAATCATGAAGTAGCTCTCGCTTTTAAAAAAGGTTGGTGACCCCTGCTTGAGGATATTATTTACGAAAAGGATGAAGCACTTCATCCAGATGCAGAATATATTTTGGATCGGCATATTTGGAAGGCATATAACGTACATTGAACACGACAAACAAAGACGCGGGATTAGATCAGGATGCCTACGTTATTATATAATGCGATAAGATTTGACAGGGATATGCAACGCTTCGCCTCAGGATTCAACAGGAAAATGTATCAAAGAATACCTACCCATCAAAAATACAAGCAAATCTCGGAGGACGTCACACAGGTCAAATGTGTACAACCCATCAAGTTCAAAAGTGGCAGAACCAGGCAGCAACTCGTGTTGGAAGTCGGTCGAGAAAAATCAGAGCTGCCGCATTTGCTCTGAAAGCTCAATTTGTCACAGTGGCGATTAGAAAGTAGAAATGCCAAAGATGGCTGCAAGTTAAAGGTCTCCCAGTGGGGATTTGACACATCTGCTATAGCTCAACAGTGAGTGACCTTTTCCTCCTTATTAGCAGCGTGGCCTCGTTGTCGGTATTGTTGCCGCACATTCGGAGGAGGAGGAGGGGGTGTGAAAAAATAAGGACAAAACAAAAAAAAATTAAATAAAGCTCATTTCGTCCTTCGGAGTCAAGTTGACAGTGCCGTTGCCCAAGGTCAAAAACGGGGCGATGTTGAGAGCGTGGTGACGCATGAACAAGCCTGACATTTAAACGGTCAAGTTCAACTGCGACGGCTCGGCGAATCAAAAACGGGAGATAATTAGAAATCTTGCCAGGGGTTCAAAGACTGCTTTCTCTCCACAAAGAGCACGGCCCTGCTGGGAGATGCGCCGGGGGAAACGGCTGGAATTATCAACCCCTCAACATCATCCAGTCGATGAGGAAACCCCCAGCTTTCAAATCTCATTAAAACAAACCACATCCATAACAGAAATCGACTTGCTTGCACTGGACTCCCTTTTTCCTGGAAGCAAGGAGAGTTTTCCACGTACAGTCAGACTGTTCAATTTCATCTGCACTATGTCTGGACACCTTGACGGCAGTTTTTCGTTGCCGCTTGTAAATGAATTTGAGGCTGAACTCCCAACCACCTTAAAGCCTGGAAAATTTGGAGTTGGACTCAGACTATCACGGAAATCTCTCAAATACTGCACAAATTTTGGACATTGAACCCTCACAGTGCTTGACGTCATGCAAGCTGTTGCCGCAGATCGGTCAGCCTCATTTCAGCCGACAGCATATTGTTCTTAGCGTTTCTGAAAGTTTAGGCAACGGAAGTTACTGGCAAATATGCCGACTCGTTTTAAGTAGAAAATGTATGAGTGTTCCGGTATCATGACAGCTGGAGATGATACCAGTCGTCACATGGATGACTGAGCAGAAGTCTTACTCCTGTCAAACCATGTTTAGCACGGGAGTATCATGCTTAGGATTTGCCAGGGTTGTAAACATTTGGATGGGAATCTCAGCTTCCAACTTTTGAAGAAAAAAAAAAGGACTTATTTGGACCTTTGCACGACTGGCGTTGTAAATTTGAGTCCATCTGTTTATGATGCTTGACAAGGAGCAGCACTGACTGAAGATGTAGAATTCCACGTTAGCAATATGCTTGTCATTTGTGATTTAAAGTGTTTTTAACGTGCTTTGTTATTCGTGCTGCGTTATGATCTCCTCTCATATGGGAATACTTAACTTTGGGGCATATTTGGAACTAAAAAATTTGGGTCCCACTCCAAATAGTGCATCGTTTGGGGTTTTCATTCTACCACTGTATATGGCAGCCAGTTCAGGGTATACCCTGTTTCGTTTACAACTGTCCTGCAATGAGGCTTGAGGTTATAAACCATGTGCAACATTCTCATTTGTGCCGTGGCACGTTAGAGGGCAAAAATATGGCTTTTATACAAATATTTTACATTCATCTGACTTACCTACTGCATGAGTAGGTTAGTGATAAAATAGGACGTGTTAAGACTTAGGTACAAATTGGGGTTGTGTCACTATCGTAGGGACACAACACTGTCCTAAACTAAAAAAAAAACCCTGTAATTTTTTAGGGGTGATGACAATCTAACTCCCCCAGGTGGGATAAGTAAAATATTTATCGATCGACCTTGCCTCTAAGCTTCATAATTCAATTATAAAGGTTATTAACACACTGTACTTTGTTTGCATAGTGCCCACTGCGGAACAGAGTGCAGAATGGTGTAAGCTTGCCTGTATTTGGTGATGGTTTATCAAGCGATCAAACAGGAAGTAGCTTTGTGCCTTTTGTCACTGGTTCGGATGTTAAGTCGGCCTCAGCTCAGCAATATGTATTTGTCACTGTTATAATAGAAAGCCCTAAACTTACTTAAAAGGGGGGGAGACATAGAAGAATAGGCTTTTTTTAAACCACGCCACATTAAGTAATTTTTCTTATGTGCCAAAGATGTGGGGATGGCATTAATTATTGATTCCTCCATTTTCGACTCCATGCTGATTCCACTGTGTGCATGAGTTCATGCAACATTTTTCCGAATGGATGCACCACATGTCATCACAGCAAGCTGTAGCCAAATTGGACATTTTTTTTTTTTTACTCACAGCTATGTCCAGCTGGTCCAGCGGTACAGCCTCCTCAGCGAGCAGTTGCACTGAAGAATCGGCGTTGACAGTTATGGACCCACTGCTCACTAGGTGACATATCAGCGGGAATGTATTCATCAGACCAAATAACCTACACATTACAGCGCATTCAGGGGTGGTTGAGTTGGCTGTTATATGCCATGACAGACTTACCGAAGTATTTAGCAGCAGAGCCATCATCATTGAAGACCGTGACGACGCCGGGCCGGAGCACCTGCAAGGTGGGCACGTGGGCGGGGAGGATACCAAATGCACCAGTGAGTGTGGGCACATCCACTTGCTTCACGCTGGCCTCTTTGAAGAAAACCTGCAAATATGACAAGAATATTATGGGAATTATTGTCCACTTTGGAGCTGTTTCACAAAAGTAAGCCCTTGCCATTTCATGAACAAACCTATTTCAGACCTCTTTTTTTCTCTACGATAACTAAAACTTCATGCCGACACGCATATTTTTGTGCTTTTTGTGCAGTCGCCGAAGATGCCATCCAAAAGCTCTGCTCCTTCTAAGATGAATATGATTCCTATAAAAGGTCCTACAAGGAGATGTGGAGGCTCTTTGTGTGGTAGCCCCAGAAAAAGCAGGTTAGTAAACATCTGCAGAAAAAGATCTGGACTGCTAATGGCAGTGGTGGAAGTCAACACCTTCTGAGCTGTTAACAGCCACTTGCTCAGCGTAAAGGCCCAACAAAAGACAGTCATTTACAATATACTTTTTTTTTTTAATGAGAGTACCTATCATCATTGAGCCAACAAAGTAAGAAATTGATAACAGGAAAGGAGCGGCTGATACATTTATGTGTTGCTAAGAAGCAACATAGACACCAGCATCCTTGCACTTCCAGGGCGTTTTTCAAAAAAGTAATCTGGAAGCAGTTAACTTTAATGGTATTGTTGTAGAATTAGATTGACCTTATACTGTATTGCAGTGGTTTGAGATAGTAGCTTTGCGTTATATCTAGGCATTAATGTATTGGAAATTATAAATAAATTTGGGAGTGTATTATTCTTGAGGTGTTTTCCAAACATAGTTCCTCACCTCGGATACGGTTCAATACAATTGCTGTCGTTTCAGGGGTGACATTTCATACTCCCAAGTGTCCACTGTGTGCAACCCAAGGTTGCACGGCTATCATGACAAAATTCAGTCTGAGTTCAGTAAACATATCAAGTTAGCGCCATATAATTCTAGAAATGCATGTGCGATAGTAGGCATGCCATTTACACGAAAAACTTTTTTTAGTTAACGTGGTTGTAATCAATTACATTGCAGGTCAACTAGAAATGAATGACAGCGAGCATTGCTAGCTCGTGAAGGCTAAAACATTTCCAGCACTCAAATCGTGCAATAACCGATAAACCCGAACTCGGACAAAGCAAAATAATCAATTGACATACACTTTCGAATGATTTTTAACAAAGTCCGACAATGCATTTTAGGCGCATATTGAGCAAACAGTTTAGCTAACGCTAGTTAGGCCCTCTTAGCATTCCCAACGCCGCGGCTACCTGAGTCGGAGAGGCAAAAGTGAAGGACATCTGCGGGGCACCGGTGGCGGCCTCGGCGTAGCAACGCGCTTGCCTGAGCACGGGGAGTGAACGGCGGAGAAATCTTGCTGCCATCATGTTGGAAATGTCTTCGTTTAAGTACGTGTGACTGACACGGACCCCGAAAATTCCTTGCGTCCAGGCAGATGGTGTGCGTTTGGTGGACAAGGACGTTGGTAATCTACCCACAATGACTTGCGGCAGCGTAACTGGGCTGGGTAATGTAGTCTCTAAAGCGGAAAGACTGATGCGCGCTTCCGATAGCTTGCTTGCTTAAAAAAAAAGTTATATTTCATGATCTTGACTTCAACTTGTTTTGTCTAATATCCATTTTCTCCCACGGACCTTTAACATTGACGATGACCGCTTTATTGCTTATGTAATCTTATTTTGATAGATAGATAGATAGATAGATAGATAGAGATAGATACATAGATAGATAGATAGATAGATAGATAGATAGATAGATAGATAGATAGATAGATAGATAGATAGATAGATAGATAGATAGATAGATGGTTGGGTTAATTTGCCAGGAGATGGCGCCATAATACTGCTCAAAATATAATACTCATGGGGAATGTAGTCTTTCATACAGGAAGACTGGCGCAATAGCGGAAGTCTCGTGCTTTGGTGCTGAAAGATCGATGGCTAGACGATAGAGAGAGAGAAAGAGAGAGTGAGAGAGAGACAGAGAGAGAGAGAGAGAGAAAGAGAGAGTGAGAGAGAGACAGAGAGAGAGAGAGAGAGAGAGAGAGAGAGAGCGAGAGAGAGAGAGAGAGAGAGAGAGAGAGGATTTTTATACATTAAATTTACAACTAGATGGCGCTACAACGCTATTCAAAAGGGTATTTAGCACGAGTGGGTCAGAAGTATTTTTTTGCTGTGTGGAGCGAATTTAACTATGGCTTTGCAAAGAAAAAAATACCATTTAGTTTTAATTTCCTCTTTTACCATTCATTTGTTGATTTATTTATCTATCGATGTATTAGTTTTCCAAACTAATAACACATCCCAGTGGGAAATTATTTGGACCGAATGAATGTACACAACTGTGTGTGAGAAACTGTATATTCTGGTCAACCCTCGAGCCAGTCGTCTTTACCTCACTGGTGACGTCACCTGGGGCTTCACTGACTGGCCGGTGGGTGTGTCTTAGACGCAGGGGCTTCCATTCATAAATACCTTTAAGCCGCATGAAAAATTTGCACATTCAAAAGTGTTCTCGCAGACTTTCCCGTGGTTTGCCCCCTCCGCCGCTGGCCGGACCACGCAGGTTGAGCAGGTGAGTGCAATGTTGTGAAGGATACGTGTGCTTCTTTGTGAAGCCTGATGTGAATAAATGCCTTCGATGCCGACTCTGCCGAGTATCGACATCGCTGCATTCATCGTGCATTGAGACCACGCCGTATCATCGATTAAGTCCATTTCGCCGTGATCCTGTCCTCTTGTAACTTACTTGCACCTTAAATGTCTGCTAATTTGCAGGAAAATCGATTAATATTGCTGAAACATGGCTGCGCCATACAGATTTTAGTGTTACTGTAGAAAACAGCCCATACAGTAGTATACAGTGACAAATGATGTAGTCTTGGTATAATCTATGCAATAATTATAGTCTACACTATATTAACAGTGTTAATAAGATACATAGCGAGCAGCAATAGTGAATGTTTTTGTTTATTTAGTAGTATTTTTGCCACAGCAAATCATGTTAATGCAAAGAGTCGGGGACAAAAAGCCACCATTCGAAAACCCTTTTTCAATTGTTCATGTTAGCAAATAGTAAAATCATGAAATATGCACATCACACATGCAATTTATTAGGCATGGGCTACTCATCTGAGGTCTCGCTTTATTTATTTATTTAGACTTTTATTTAATCACCAATTGAGATGTTTTCAGTTGCAATGCTGCCCTGCTTGCAAACAGCAGAGTAAAACAAAGCAATCATCATCATCATCATCATCATCATAACTTGATCTAATGTAGTGCCTTTCATGAAACCCAAAGGACCCAAAATAGAAGCAAATACAAAGTGCATGTTCATTTTGTGATTGTGTCAGTGCTCTGTCTTATTTATAAGACGCTTATTCCAATATTTTCTTTATGGTTTCTTTTTAAATTCGGTTTGGAGGTAGGGAGAGGCGTATACAGTATTTGTACAAACACGTTGGAGGTGGGTAGAGGCCTTCATTTGTACACACACGCTCTTTCTGATGATATTAACCAACATTATCGATGCATCACCATCAAAGAGAAGTGAAACTAAAAGTTAAAATGAAATAAAAAGCACCATTATGACATAAGGCGGTCAAATGGGAAGAACCAAGAAAGTGGCACACAACATTGTACTATGATGATTTTACAAATCAGTTAACGTGTTAATTATTTTAATGATTAATTGATGAATCACATGTTTTCATTTCGGTCCTTTTATTGAAAAATACGATTTCTTACAAAATATTTTTTGATGAACTTGACACTCGATTAGTTGTTGATTAATCGATTAATCTTTGCACTTCTAGTGAACACCAATCATTACATAACCAAACACTATTTTAACACTGTGCGCGCTTCTGTTTTCGTTATGAACAGAGTTCAAATATGCTTGAACGTTTCATCACTTACATTTCTAAAATATGAACTGAGAAAAGCTTTCTAAACACTGTTGGGTCAAATCGGGACGGAACCCACTTGGATCAATTTGACCCAACTTTTGGGGTTATTCATTTAACCCCAAAAGTTAGGGCAAATGCATAATTCACAAAACAACCCCCCGGCCCCCCAAAAAAGATTGTTTCGTGCAAAACATTTACACTCACATTCATACCCATGGACAATTTAGCATCTTTAGTGAACCAATCTGCGATGACTTTGGAACCTATAAGAACTGCGTGACAGATGTGCTTACCACATTTCACCCTTCTGCCAGACCCAATGTTCTCAAAACACACATTCAAGTGGAATTCAGTTGAGCCTTCCCGATGTCTCCGAGGCGCATTTCCTTACGTAAGGTCCAACTTGACATTTAAGCGAGCGGTCTGCCGCTCTTGTTTTGCTCGCAGCCGTGCCGCCGCGCTGCCCTGTTGCTTCGAGGCCACTGGGCCGCTGCTGAAGGATGATGATGGGGTTGGGAGGCGTTCATCTTGCTTGGACGGAGGCGGATTCTCTCAAGCCACACACACACACACACACACACACACACACACACACACACACACACACACACACACACACATCGAGAGCCGCTGCTTCTGATGCTACTACTGCTTCTGCGCACTGCCCTCCATCAGGGGTAAGACAGACTTCGAGCATAGGGTTGGTTGTATTTACAGGCTCTGGTGCTGAAATTGCTGCATTGAGTGGCGGGCATGTTGCTTCTTCCGTGCTGTGGTGAGTATCCAGGTTGTGTGTGTGTGTGTGTGTGTGTGTGTGTGTGTGTGTGTGTGTGTGTGTGTGTGTGTGTGTGTGTGTGTGTGTGTGTGTGTGTGTGTGGGTTAC